CTCTCCAGGGGGCAAATTTTCTGTTTCTTTCTGCTGTTGCAGCTAAAAATAAAAAGCGAGAGCTCCGGCTTTGGTGTGGTTTTGCTTTCCGCCAAGGTTTTAGCTGAAAAGAGGCTTTGTTCCCCTTCTTCTGCGTTCTTGTGCTGAGGAAATTAAGTACTGGACTTCTGGTTGTAACTTGATTTTCTTGGGCATTTTTAACAGCTGTAGTGCACAGGGCCGTGTTTCTGATCATCTGATCAGTTTCATCTTGACAGAGCCATGGGCTAGAGAGCAATCACAAGTTATTTGGGAAAGCTAACAGTAAAAGTCTTTTGCAATTTGTGTGAGCAGCAGAAAGAAGGGGTAAGAGATACTGTAAGATGCAGGAATTATTATGCAGGCAGATATTAAGATTTAAGAGCAGACAAAAAGACACGTTTGACAGATTAGATATGGGAAGAAGTGTAAATAAACCCATCGTTCACCAAAACATCAGACCCTTGTCTTATTACAATCGACATTTCATTTCCATGCCAGTTATAGAATTTATATTTACAATTAATAAACACCACAAACCTCCAGATTCCCACCATTTGCAAGAAAACAAACTATGTTAGTGGAACTATGGGTAATAGGGGAATAATAAAAATGCCTATTGCATTTCATATGGTTGTAAAACTGTAAGTGAATACTTAGTGATGGACTGTGTATGCAACATATCCTGTACTGCTCGAGGAATAAAGCATCAACCCATACACAGCTGGAAGTTTTTTGCTCTACAGCTCAGACAGATTCTTGGCAAACTAAGCACATTCTGATTCAGGACAGATATGAAAATTTGCACTGGGCCACTCAGGCTCAACACCAAGACAGGTGGATCGAAGAAATTCATGGAAGCAAAGCAACAGGTGGGAATAAAACCTCCAAGTCAGAGTAGAAATCCTTCCTAAGCAGCACCCCAGAGGCTTAGATCACTGAAAAAGCCTCTAAAGAAACTCTATAGTTGTCAGTTGCTATGAAACCCAGACCTCATTAAATAATCTCCGGGACCTGAGGCACTTTGTTTTGAAGAGCAAGTGGGAGTCTTTTTTTTCTCCTTACTAACTGTTGTTACAATAGTTTCCACTGGGGTGAGGACATTGTTTTTTATTTTCTCTGTAAAAAGGGGAAGGTGGAGAAAATTTAGTTAAAATGTTATTCTCCTCACAAACCCATGGAGTGTACATCCTTTGTAATATGCAGTTTTATGTCTTTGGTTTTTTTTA